TTCAAGAAAGATATGAATGATGTCATTATTTTTAATGGTCAGATGCTCAGATTTTGGGAATGTGTTTAGGAGGGTCGAATTAAGGAGGATCTTTTTAAAAGACAAAAAAATATTTTTCATTCAAAGGAAAATTCTCAAAACACGAAAGCCTCCAAAATCTTGCTAAAAACATTCAAAGCTACGTATTTCGACGTACGTTACGTGTTCCTCTGGGAACAGTGGAAATTTTAATTTTTCTCTAAGTTCTATAGTTGGTCATGAAATCATATAGAGAATTTAGAAATTAAAGAATTTCTACTATTTTCAGTACCAGTAATAAAGAAGTTGTACACTAAACAACTACTATCTGGAGGCACCAGTTTTGATAAATAAAGTATCTATGAGAAATTTACATTTATCATTAAATTTCGGAAAATTTCTAAAAACAACTTTTCTTATTTAAAGAGAGCCGTAAAGCATCCCTCACCTTGAGATTTACACTTACCACCTCAAACAATCGTTACCTGTCCATCTTTATTCCATTCACCAACAAATCTGGTTATTTTAGACAGATCAGCGCTCATTTGTACCGTGACAAGTCACTGACAGCCGAGCAGGGGAACACAACTGCTAAGTCGACCCCGAAGTAACTTTAAAACATCTCGGGGCATTAGTATCTGGGAATTCCAGAGTAGTAAGCATTATCGGGGTGTTTAGCAGCGTCCCGCTGGGAAGGGTGGTCTGTTTACCGGCCAACAAATTACCCCCGACTGCCGGATCGGGGCTAAGACACCCGGCATTAGCCCTAAATGATTTTAATCTTCTGTTCGAGGATGTAAACGTCAAGGCTGGGCCTTATCTCGGCTTGTAAATGTGTAAGGGGTGTCCCTGGACCATTCAGGCCAAAGATTTATTGTTACTGAATACTTTTTAATATTTAATTTCCTCCATATGAAGTGAAAAACATCTTCAAATTTAATCACATATACAAATAGACAAAATTTCATCTCTATCTCTGTAGAAAAAAAAGTAATAAGCATTCAGGTAGGTATTCATTAAAGTATGAAACTTTTTCTATATAATTTCTGTTTTTCTTTTTTTAATTCCCAAAAATAAGCGAGAGAAGTAACAGTTAACGCGTCAAATGTTTATTTAAAAATAAAACAATAAAGTCATGTCCTAAACGGAACTTAAAGAATGTCTTCAAAATTATCACCATTCATTTCAACAGGTCTGCACGACGTAATCACTGTTCTTTAACGGTGCCCAATAATGAAAGCTATTTTCCCCGTGTTGTTTCCGAAGTCTGATGTATCTGGCATTTGAAGCACTAAAATCTTCATGTACCCCCTCCACAAAAAAAGTCACAATGGTTAAGGTCCAACCCATTTATTTCAAAAACTGATCACCTTTTCGATTAAAATGTAAAAGTTTATCACTTTCTTCTTGCCGAGAGTTCAATTCGCGCCTACATGTTCACGAAAAATCTTTGCTGGAAATTGTTTCTCTGGACTGCATGAGGATTTTCTTCAACCCACATGGGGATTTCGGAAGTTGATTCCATTTTGGGTAAACGTTACCTAGTCTATCTACATACTTGTTCATTATTTTCATAAACATAGACTTTTAAGACGTACGCGCGGAACATAAATCTATCAGGTGCCGAATTATTGTAACTATTTTAGAATTTTACTTTTTTCTCGCTTATTTTTGGGAATTTCCGAAAAAATTCCCTATTTTAATTAACAGAATACTCGAAAAAAATTATACAATCAACTAAAAAATATGTATATTGTGAATATAATTAAAATTCATTTTACCATATCATTTAAAATTGTTTACGGAAATTTTTCAAAATATTTTGGGGAAAGTTCTTTATTAATATGTGGCTTCTAGTACGGCTCCTGTATTATATTGGCTGGTTTATTATATTATTATTGTCGTCGTCGTTTGTCATATAATCAATAATTACAAACTTTGGAATTTATTTGGAAAACCACAAATCTTTATTATGTAGGTACATCTACTTTAGAATTAATTAACACTATTTTTGATAAATATTCACTCACAACACTTCGATATGGTAGACAGTATATCAGTAGCGTCGATGGCATTGTTTTAAATCGCTTATTTAGCTCACTAGCAAAATTTGATTTGTTGTCGTAGTTTTGTTATTAATTGATTATTTTACGTAAATGGTCTATGACTTCCAACCACTACGGCTCGTCAGCTTTAAAGCATCCCCTCCTCGATCTACAACCATGGTTGAATATGACCGTCTACAACTATGACCAGTATTGGGTTGGATAGCCCAAGATATCTAATAATTTTGCTTGGTATTTTCCCCTATTGGCTGAACAGAAGACTTTCCATTACGTTAGCTAATAAACAATAAGTAGATCATGTGTTGTTACTGATGGTCTTAGAGTGATGCATTTTCTGTATGTTTGAACAATTCTCTCGTTTCGTCATCAATAATAAAAGTTCGAGTTTTTGACGTTGGAATTTTAACATAACACCATATTACACCAATTTCATGCAAATCGTCTTATACGCATGTACCGGCAATGCCAAAAACTGCCACAACCTAAAATTAGAAAATATGTACTGTCCGTCGCTCCGTTCTAAGCAATTTACAAATTTACGTTTACATATTTGTACATTCCATTTTTTGCTGAACATTTTTAATTTCTTGCTATGCTGATATTTTAATACCTAATCGTTCTAGATCGATCTTTTTTAGCTATCAAAAAAGCTTTCACAATTCCGACTCAACGGTTTTGTTTTATATCGTTTGTCCTTTTTGAAAAAGGAACTGAATTCTGTAAGATTTTCCGCTATTTTGGAAAGTCACTAATCTATGAATAGTTTGTACACCAATTGATATAGTTTTCATGATTTCTCAGGTATTAAAGTTGATGTTAACGGTTTGCGGTATCTGATACTTCTATGCTGATATTTTGAAACTCATCCTCATCACCATAATCACTATCAAATATTTTTAACTGGTTATTTCAATTCAGATTTTTAAGAAAAACAATGACGACAAATTTTATTTACAATATCGTTTCAGTAATATCTATATTGTACCAGTCTATTAACGACTGTTTAAAATTTTGAATGTTAATGTATTAACGTGATAATAAAACGTTGTAAGACTTGAAAAAAGTTCACCGTACTCATAGGTAATTGAGGAACTTTACACTTGCATCATAAATAACTATTAAGTGTTTATTGGATGACTACAATTTGGATACTGAGCTATGGAGCCAAAAGTGGCATTTTAAGACTTGAATAGTACTTTTGTAAGACAATTAATTAAATTAAAAAAATACATATTTAGCATTTTTTTTACTAAAAACAAAGTAAAATACATTTCGTTAAATTATATAAAGTTAAATTTTCGGGCACAATTTTATGAAAATGTCTGTCAAATTGTATAGATAGTGGTATTTCCTAAATTCTAGTCAATACAACTACAATTCTAAAAATGTTTAATTTAGGTACATTTTCTCCCATGAATATATAAGATATTCTTTCAACTCATGTCTTCAGTTTAGGGATTATGTTAAGGATGAAAGATATCAATCTTCACAAAATTTACTCAGATACCTGTATACTTAAACCTAATAACTCAATTAAATAAAAATAATGAAATTTTAAAATATTTCGTGTTTTCACACTAATATATCTCTACATTGCATTTTACTTTTTGCCTAACTAAGTAAAACCAATATGAATGAATATTTTAGTACCTAGTAACTATTTGGATAATGGAAGAAAATGTGCATGATGGATTGAAAATATAATTATACAAAATTATTGTTTGTCATTTTCGTGACTTAAAAGTATTATAAAATAGAGAACCTTTCAGTGTGAAATATGCATGCATGCATTTCTTTGTTTTAATGGGTGTACAATGCACTAGAGATTAAATGAAAGATTAGAATGAATAACTTACAATGTTTCCTTTCCCTTCTTATTACATTTGACCCTTTTAGTAACAAGATTTCTCATCGTAAAGCTGTAAGGTCAACAGGCTAATTATATAAATATTTAACAGTTGCGATTAGCAAATTGTTATTAAGATTGTTTTGCCTATTTTCTAACACAATGTCAACAAGAAAGTAGATATATCTACGTATTAGGTATGTGTGAAAAATTGATTTTAATAAATTTTTGGAAAACGTCAAGCTTTTAAAATAGCTTTTGTTTATAAAAGTTAAAGAAAAAGCCAAAATGCCAAAATGTTTCTCAAATTTTAAAAAACACTATAAGATTAACGGACTGGGGCTTCAGGGACTGACAGAACATCAAAAAAATAAGATTGTTTTACAGCTACATTACATTGAAACGCAACATTTTATCTTAAATAAAAAAGGTTGTTGTATTTATTTCAAGTAAATACACCGTTTGAGGTGTAAAAACCAAATTGACTGTCGCAAAGTCAATCAGCTCCTTAATATACAAAGTATCCGGAAACGAAAGCTTCCTTAAAAAGTTATGTTTATAAGTATGATTTAGTTAAAATGGAATTAAAAAATGAAAAATAATTTATATTTTTTTACGGAAGTAAACTTGTACTAAGGTAACTTCTAAATTCTAAATCGGTTTATGAAATTCACTCAAAATCCACCTTTGAATTGTGGTCTATTCTTTTCTGAACACCCTGTATAACAATAAGGAAAGGAAGCCAGTTGACTTTGGAACAGATAATTGCGTCATCTCGTAAAATAAAAAGAGAAAACTATTAACTTGAGGACTAAAAATTGATAAAATCGATACCTACACGCATATAAAATAGAAAAATCAATATCTTTTCTCGTTGATATTTTTTGAAAATTTGGATTTAAATTTTTTCACACCATCTGTTTCAAGCAAAACCTATTGATAAAATAAAGTGTCCCTGAAAAGTCACTTATAGTCACTTTATTGGTGATATTGTATACAGTCAATTTTAGCTGTAGGTGTACCTACCATTCCGATTTTCAATTTCTAACATGTATTATTTTTATTTCCAGGATGCAGCAGCAGCAACTGGCCGCTCAGCTGGCCCACCACGGAGGCGGTGGTCGCCAACCCCCCTTGAGCCCCACGCCTTCGGAGAGCGACTCTGACATCTCCCTTGGAGCGCACTCGCCCCCGATCAGCTCTCCGGGCCCGCTACGCTTCGGCACCGGCTCCCCCAATCCCATCACCTCCTTTCGTTTCGGGGCGCACTCCCCAGGTCCTATGCCAGCGCAGTTCCGCTTCGGCACCCACACGCCACCTAGTTTTCGAATGGACAGACAGAGTCCGACCCCTCCCAATTTCCGTCTGGACAGGAAGATGAGAAACTCCGAGTCCCCCATCAACGTGGACTCGGCCCCCTCGAACTACGCCGCTGTGAACCTGAGGCTGAGCTCGAACGAGAGCCCGATCGACGTGGACTCCAGCACGGACTACCGGCCGGAGAAGAACAGTCCCATAAGGGTGGACGGGTCACCGCAGCACTCGCCACCCATGAACCTCAGAATGGCGGATAATATACGCATGCCGCCCTCGGACGGCATGAAAATCGAGACTCCACTGCCACTGAGGCTGGGTCATCAGCTGAATTCATCCCAAATGAATACTGCTCCGCTCAGGATTCAAGTTACAAGCCCCAACAGGCTGGAGCACACCAGCTTGCCCGGTGGGCACCATCCCCATGGGGGTATCGTGCGGATCGCTCCTCCGAGTCCCAGTGGGGCTCCGGTGCTACATCGGCCCTTTTCGCCGCCACGGCTAACGTGATACTCGCCGTTCGGGTGGGAAGAGAACTTGTGAATAACCTTTGCTGCAATATTTGTATATTTATTAGCTTTCACGAGATGTGTATGTATATAGAGCAAGTGTGCGGGATGGAGGACTGCATTTAGGTGTTCAATGGCAATTGTGTATATAAATTCTGGGAGGTATACGGGGTGAGCCAAAATCGCAATTCATTCTCGGGTTAAAATTATAACATCTAAGTTACCTAAGCTATTACGAAGTTACCGTATTATATTTCAGTTATTAAAATTTGCTAATAATTCTGTACGATTCACAATTTATGAACAGCACAATAAAAGGTGGACTGTAGTACACCTACAAATATGTTATCTACAGTAAATGAAATATATAGTGTTACGCAAGCAATTTAAAATATCGAAAATGATAATTCCTCATGTCATTTTAAGAAGATAACTTCATGTAAATATACAGGATATCCAGGATATGGCGAGCAATCTCTCAAAGAATAAAAATTGGGTAGGCCTTGCAAAAACATCGTCACAAGTGTATAAAATTCTTTTTTATTAGGGTACACCTTGTGGAGTTATTACTTCTTGAAGCTGAGAGTTGAAAATTGATTTTTCGTTTTTATTAAATTTACATAATTTTTGGTAAAAACTGTTACCGATAGCCGCTTTTAGTCCAATTAAATAAGCCTTTAAATCGAAATTTTGGTCAACTTGCCTGAATTTTTGATATGAGTTAGTTTGAGGTATATTATAACAATAAAGGGTGAAAAAAGATAAAACAAATGAGTTTTTCAAGATAACTCAAAAGGGGCTAGGGCTAGAAAAAAAAAGTTTCTTATAAAAGTTGTAAAGCATACAATTCTACATAAAAATGGCATCTTGACTTTTTCTGGTACTATTAAAATTAACAGAGTTAGGGAGGCTAGAAGTTAAGAGAAGATATCAGAAATTTAAAAAAATCATAACGAGCAGAAAAACGATTGAATTTTGTAGTTTTTTTTCAATCTACTCTAAAAAATGTAGACACGTATTTTTTTTATCGGCGGAAAAACATATTTAAGTGGTGAAATACACCCTCAAAGTTCGCCCCCCAAAACAGTTTTTTCAAAATTTCTGGGGTTCTAATCAATATTTTGAAATGAAACAAAATGGAAATTACTTATGATAAAAAACAAATATTTCGTAAGTGATTCCGTGTTTGGGGGTTGCTAGATACACTTATTTTTTATTTCAGAAAAACTATATTTTTTATTTATAAAAAAATCATATTTACTCAAAAAGACTTAAAAATGTGATTTATGTAAACAAATTGACAAAATTAAATTCACGTGTTTTGTGGTTTTCGTTAAAATCTGTTTAGGGGGGGAACAACAAATTTGAAATTGTCATAACTTTCTTATTAAAAATTAAAAATATATCTATTTCTCTGAAAAGAAAAGTTACTATATTTTTAGAATAGATCGAAAAAAATTACAGAAATCATTCATTTGTCTGCTTATGTTTTTTTTTTTAATNTGAACAACAAATTTGACATTGTTATAACTTTCTTATTGAAAATTAAAAAATATATATCTATTGCTCTGAAAAGAAAGGTTATATTTTTAGAATAGATCGAAAAAAATTACAGAAATCATTCATTTGTCTGCTTATGTTTTTTTTTTAATTTTTTAAATCTTCCCTTGACTTCTAGCCTCAATTAACTCTGTTAATTTTGATAGTACAAGAAAAAGTCAATACACCATTTTTATGTAGAATTGTATGCTTTACAATTTTTATACGAAACTTTTTTTTCTAACCCTTACCTGTTCTGAGTTATCTTGAAAACCCCCTTTGTTTTATCTTTTTTCACCCTTGGCCGGGGGTTGAACCAAAAATTACTCTCACTTATTGTTATAATATACCTCAAACTAACTCATATCAAATTTTCAGGCAAGTTGACCAAAATTTCGATTTAAAGGCTTATTTGATTGGACTATTTGGGGAAGAGCCTCGGTAGTTTTAGCAACCAAAAATGTTAAAGGTTTACTTTTTTAATTTTTGTTGCCGTTTTTAAGGCTTTAAGAATAGGTATATGTATATCCTTATTTGTTATGGATAGAATAAACCGTTTTCGAGATAATGATGACACTATTTCCGACAATTTTTAGCAGTAATAAAATCAGATCAAATCTCGAAAATGGTTTGTTTCATCGACATCAAACAGGTAGGTTCCCCCACAGCAACTAAAAACTTTAAGAGGTGATAAAAATTTAAAAAATAAGTCCATAATTTTAATAGAAATTAATAAGAAATAATTCAAATATAATGAAAAACAAAAGGATATAACGAAAAATAAATTTTCAATTGTCATCATCCAGAGCTAATATGTATAATAACTCTACATGGTGAGCCCCAATAAAACAAATTATATGTTGTGATATTATTTTTGGGATTCCTACCCAAATCCGAGAGATTGCCTACGATTTTCTGGACACCCTTTACGTTTTCAGATGTCTCGTTTCTGAGATAGGTACAGGTTTTGTTTTTATTAGAAGCCTTTTATTTAACTTGTTTTGTCAATATGGGTCAAAACTTGTAACTGAATTTTAAAACAATTATCTCCAACCGATTGAGCTGAAATTTTGCATACACGTTTAGTTTGGATGACAATGCATGATAGTAGATAGCACTAACAATTTATTTAAAAAAAAAAACTGATTTTAATTTACAGTGTCTCAAAACTTGAAGCATCGAACTTGTTACAGGAACACAAATAACAAAAATAAATTTTAGCCTAATCACAATTGTTTTTTCAGAACATACCCAAATATTTCCACAATCCACAATTAAATAATTATTTATTTTTAACATCTTAACAAAATGTTTCATCATCTCTAGGTTGAGATTAACGTTCTAATTAACAATAAAACTTTTGAAACCTGAGTCATAAAAGTACAGAACAACAGTATTAAATATAAAAAACTTTCAAACAATCGGTATCTAATAAATAATAATGAATAATTTAGTAATTACTAGACAAAGTTATTACACCATTTTAATGTATAAAAAAATATTTTGAGAAATACCTTCGTTTAAAAATATATAAATGAAAACCGGCACGAAATAAAAAACATTATAATTAATTGCGAATCTAGCAGAATATAATGTTACTACAACTTGATTTAATATCTGGAAAAATTTAGTAACAGTAGTTATATATTATCAAGATGTTAAAAAAAGTTTTAATTTAATGAAACAAAAACTACAACAATTAAAAACCAAAATAATGTCGGTCTGTTGTCATAGTTTTCACGTTTTCATTTCAATTTCAATTGTTTATCGACACCAAAATCTAGTATTAATAAAAACAAATAAAATTTTGCATAGCCATAGTAATTTATAATAATAATAACAATTGGAATTTGTCAACATATCCATTTAATACCACTTTTCGTATTTATTTTTTGATAAATATTTGAGCTCAACTTCTAAAGAATAAAATATTTTCTCTAGTTTGTTTTAAAACCATTGTTGATGACATCATAACCTAATTTTCATAAATTGTGGCCAAGAATGTAATATTGTAAAATGGAACTTTAGTTATATTTGAGACAAAGTAAATTTTTTTCTTTTAATTTTTTGTTTCACCGCGTAATAAGGTTACATTACTATAATTTGTTCTTCGACGAATTATTACTAATAGTTTCTCTATTAACCTAAACATTTAAACAGAATTTAATATCGACGGAGAATTACAAAAATATGATACACAATTAGGGAAACTTGTGGTGCGTATATTTTTTTCGTTCAAATAACATATATATCTTTTAATGAGGCACTTGTATAATACAAATTTAACGAAATTAATACCATAAAAACAAAAGGAGTATTTTATGATATTTGTTTTTAAGAAGTTTTTCTTAAATTTAGTCTGAGGAATCACCTACTGCAATAATTCAGATGGGTTACGGTTTATTCAATCTCAGCAGGGAAATAAATATTATTGCGGAGCTTTTCTAATGGTGATGACGATGACTGAGCAATGCGCTCTTCTGAGATTCGCCGGCTCGTCGAAATATTCACTAGGGGGGTATTATTCGGTGCGCGATTGTGAATACGTGTTAGGAAACATTCTGTGTGTCTTGTTATTTACCTAATTGTGATACCAGAATTGAATTTCTATATTTATCTACCTGTACATTGCACCTTTTTATATCCAAGTGTATTTACAGAGTAAATTGCTAGTTTCCAAATTTGTTCCCCACTTCCCGATATGTTAATATCGTTTTTAGTGTGTTAATGCAACATTATTCAAAAATAAATTCTTAAAAATACATAGGTAGTTTGAAATAGGTACAGTGTATTTGCATAAAAATGTTAATTTGTTTATAATTACACATTATTAATTGCAATTATTATGTTAGAGTGATTTATTAGTTGCGGCCGTCATCTTATAAAATATGTTTATTTTAATTTAAAACATTAAGAAGTTGTTTGGTAACATTTATATTTCATTGCCTTATTAGTGAGAAATTGCTGCTGTCGGCGCAAATATTGAATAATTACCTATATTACAATAAAAATAATTCACCTGGATGGCTTACAGTTCTGTCTCACCCTTTTACTGAATTACCTAGAGAGCATTTTAGTCAAAATTAAAAGATGCACTTCAACTTATTTTATTTATGTCACTAATTTTGGATTTACGATTTACGTTTAATGTATTTGATTGGAAATTATTTATATATTATAACCTGGTTGAAATTGTGGTTAGAGTACGGCGTTATACTAAATCTAGATGTTCGCGTATTCCGTTTGTAGATAAAAATATATGCGACATTATCGATTTATTTTAAATTAGTATATATTTACATTGATTGTCAGATGTATATATTATACAATATAATATACATATTACACATTGATATTACAAAGCTGTCTTTTATTTTCGCCTATCCCTATGAGAAAAAAAAACTTAAAAAGTAATACTAACACATAATTATGCCTACCTACTTCAGATATAAATTGAGACAT